AACTGTTAAGATAATTCACATTTTCTGTACATTTTAGGTCAACAGATTATGAGGTAAAACAACCAATCAGAATTGGAAACTTAAAAAAGATTTATGTTAAATTCAAAGATAAAAGCAATGTTTTCTGGAATTCATCATCTGAAAGAATACTTTGTGAAAGTAACATTTTCAGGAATTGATTTTTAATAAAAGAAAACATGACAGAATTCTCACTGACTTTACTTATTGGATAGAGGGTATGTTAGTTTCCTAGGGCTGCCCCAACAAAGTACCACAAACTTGGTAACTTCAAACAACAGGAATTTACTTTCTCTTAGTTCTGGAGGCTTGAAGTCTGAAATCAAGGTATCACCTAGGCTATACACTCTGTGAAACCTGTCGGGGAGGATCCCAGGAGTCCTTGGATTGTGACAGCATAACTCCAATCTCTACTTCTATCTTCACATGGTCACCTGTGTGTCTCTGTCTCTGTGTCTTATAAAAGACCTTATAAGGTCACCAGTCATGTTTGATTAAGGACCTTCGATACTACAGTTTGTATGACTTCACTTAATTAGCTAATTATATCACAAGGACTCTTATTCCAAATAATGTTACTTACATTATGAGGTATTGGGAGGAATTCAACATCACTTTTTGGGGTACACAATTTAATCCATAAGCGTGTGTAAAATTAGTTTTAAATTTAATACCTTTTTAGAATAGTCTTTCAAAGGACTAACTTTAAGATTTATAATAGTGTCTTTTTTTCCCTTTCAGCTGCTTACCTTTCTGACATATTTCACTAGCATGGTTAATTATGAGGGCTAGAATTTTCAGGACAATAGCATCCTATCTAGTAATGGAAACATCTATTGCATTGGACCTTCAAAGCCAGGAGAAAGACCCAGAATTACCTTAATTGTTGTCATAAGGAATGATTGGGTTAAAGAAACAAAAACTTAAAAATGAGGGGGACCGATGCAGCCACAGTCTTCACCCACATGCAAGCACTAGAGGGGTGCACGCTGGTCCACTCGCCTGTCCACCATATGTGGAGGCCTACGTGAGTGCACAGGAAACATGTTGCACCTTGGGACTGACACAGATGCAGGCCCTGCCCACGCCTGAGCATCAGAGAGGGGCATATAGGCCTGCCCACCCACAATGTGGTGGCCCAGGACTGTGCAGGACTCATGCACTGACCAAACAGGAACCAAGGCAGCCCACTGCATGCTCAACTGCATTGATACAAGAAGAATCACCAGCAGAACCTATAAATAGAAGAGGAAATCTTCCTCCTCATAACCCACTCCAGAGTGACAGAAGAAATACATGTTATACCAGTTGACCAAACATCAGCATAAAAATACTAGAACTACAAATAAACAAGAAGATATATCACCAAAGAATATGATAATTCTCAAGTACCAAACCCCATAGAGCAAGAAACCCTTGAGATGACTGAAAAGGAACACTGATTTTAAGAAAACCCCAAGAAATAAGAGAAGATTCAGCTAAAGAACACAATGAAACAAGAAAAATATCTTGTGATAGGATGTGAAGGAGGAAATTTACAAAGAGATAACAGTTTAGAAAAGAATGTAACAGAACTCCTAGAAATGAAGGATTCTCTTAATGAAATAAAAAACAGAACAGAAAGCTTGAGCAGCAAGCTAGAGCAAGAAGAAAGAATTTCAGACCTGGAAGATGGTCTTTTTGAAATAACCCAGGCAGACAAGAATAAGGAAAAAAGAATTTTAAAAAAATGAACAAAATTTAAGAGAACTAGCAGACAACTTCAAATGCAGAAACATCCAAATCATGGGTATTCCAGAAAGGAAAGAAAAGGGAAAACTGCATTCCCATGTTCATTGCAGCTCTATTAGCAATAGTCAAAACATGGAACCAACCTAAGTGTCCATTGATGGACGAGTGGATAAGGAAAATGTGGTATAAATACACAATGGGATACTACTCAGCTATAACAAAGAATGAAATTCTGTCATTTGCAGAAACATGGGTGAAATTATGGAGACAATTATGTTAAGTGAAATAAGCCAGACAAAGAAAGAGAAATACTGCGTGTTCTCACTCATAACTGGATGCTAGGAAGGAAGGGAGGTAAGGAGAGCTGGTGGGAGGGAAGGAGGAAGTTGTAAGGAAAGCAGAGAAAGATTAGTCAGGCTCACTCGCCTCACATCTGTTACAAATGGGCAAGATTCTGCGCGTTCACTAGAAACAAGTTGTAAGATTAGTGTGACTGCACATGTGTGCCCATTTACTGATTCAGATGATTGTTGTAATTAGGTAATGCTTGGCTTGTGGCTGCTATTGTGTACTAAGAGTATGAGGGTAACTGCTCTGAATTGCTGGTCAGCATAGCAGCGGAGGAGAACTTCAGAGCATGGAGGGTCAGCAGAGTAGAGGCAGAACTCCTGTCTGAGGATAAAGCATGTCTGTGAAGTTCACATCTGAAGAATAAAGTATGTCTACCTTGCATAAAGCTGTCAGAATCTTCTTCCAATTACCTGACTCATGGCCTGCACAGGAAGGGGCAGAAGGATCTGAGATTCCTGCCCTACAGAAGGAATGAAGGAAAGAAAGAAAGGAAAGAGCACAACAATACGTTGAACTTTCAGAAGAGCACAAACCTGAGTATATTAGGGGTGGGGGGAGGGAGGGAGGTGGTCTGGAACGTGATAGGTTGGGCAAAGGGCATAAAGAAATATTATGATTTGTAGAATGAGTATGCTAATAATGAATAAAAAAACTTAAAAATGAAACAAAAAGGTAAATAAAATTTTAAATAGAGAAATATGGGATACATACACTTCTAAACCTACCTCTTTACCACATTAATCTCCAGTAAACCAGATTAATTTCTTGGAGTTACTAATTTAAAGGTCAATGACATTTTCGCTCAATTATCTCTACCAATCTTGATTTGATAATCTTATTCTTGAAAATTTCCCAGAAGGTATTAAGGTAAAGCTTTTTTGTAGAATCTTTCTAAGAATTGTATTTGTTAATTTGTTTTCTTGGCCAATTAAATCTGACTTTGGGCTTAAATTACTCAAGATTTAATAGGACTACAAACTATTTTTGAAGAGTTATTCAGTTCAACATGACCTGCATCAGGCTTACACATGAAGAATAACCAGGTTTTTTTCCTATTTATTGAAGGGTGTGTGGTAGACTGATGTCCCTGAGCAGCTCTGACCCAGCACCCTATTCCATCGTGACCATCTTTAAATGAAGGATCAGGAAAATGTCAGTTGCAGGAACAGGTTACTCTGAGACATTAAAACAGTGGATCCAATTTTTGCTCTTTTCACATATGGAATCTCCTTTGAAGCTTCATGGGTGTGACTGCGCAACATACAGGGCTGGTAAGAGACTTAGGTTCATATACGGAGCTAACAAGAAAGAGGAAACCCTGACAGGACCCGGTTCTACATAATGAGAAAGAATTGACATGGGAAGAGATTTTCTAAGCACAATTCAGAAAAATAGTAATATAAAATCATTTCTCATTCATTATGTCCCATCATCTACAAGGAATTTCTCCTGTAAGAAATTCTTTGATTAATCATACACACGCACACACGCATGCGCGCGCACGCACACACACACACACACACACACATTTATACACATCAGCCATGCATTGCTTAATGACAGGGGTACTTTCTGAGAAATGTGTCCTTAGGCAATTTCTTCTGTGTGCAAACATCATAGAATGTACTCACACAAATCTAGGTGGTACAGCCCACTATACACCTAGTCTGTATGGTATAGCCATTATAATCTTAGGGGACCAGCTTTGCATATGTGGTCCACCTTTGACGGAAATGTCACTGTGAGGCATGTAACAGTGTGTATGTAAGTTTTGTGGGATATTCACAAGTTTGTAACAACTGGTTACCAGGAATTTCCAATTAGCTGTCTGAGCTATAAAAGTCTTTCTCTTTTTCTTCTTGTCTTATGCAGGGCTGTTAGCTCTCTGACTATGAGAGAAAGATTTCTTTCTCCCTATCAATTTCTTTTGATTTGGGTGCTCTTATAGAGTTTAATTCACTAGGTTCCAGGGCTAGCCCATTTCTAACACTTGCTTCTTTATCTGTGAATGTGGCAGCAAGAGATACCAGACAATTCTTGAACTAGTTCAAGTCCATGCTTTTATTTGAGCAAATTCTGATGGTGAGTACAAGTGGTCAAGGGAGCTGTTTCCTTCTCTGGATTAGCTGGGAGGCATCCAAGTAGGGGCCATTCCCTTCCCAGAGACTGACCTGGACACACATCTCTACATGGTCATGGTCTCTGATGCTTTCTTAGGGTGGCAGCACCATGTATGCTGTGTCCTCCCCAAAGATCCAGACTTTCACAGTCTGATTCTTCTTCCCACTACAGTAGGCAGCATGGACTTTAACTCTGATGGTTTTCCTCCAAACAGAGAAGACATTTTATGTCACTTTGCTCACAGGAGAAGCCCCCTATTCTCGTATTGGCTCTTTCCACATTGCTGCACCAACCAGGGGATTTGCATATTGTCCCTCT